GGTTTGTTTTATTTATTGCACCATTTTCAGGAGTGGGCACTATACTGTGATCCCAGAAGAGATCCAAGGACTAAAGGCAAGAATAGTAAGAGCATGCTGAAACAACATGTTGCTGACGTCTGTAGAACGGCTTCCTTCCTAGGAGAAAGCAGGGCATCTTTCCATTTCCCAATTTGTTTTAGCAAGTGCTTGTGTGGAAGGTCACAGGATTTCTCTCTCATGTCTCATAGACTGGCAAAGGATGCAGGGATTTAAGATTCAGGTCAGGAACCAGACCTTCCAAGAGACCTTTCCTGAATATCCCTATGCCTGCCCTCCCTGGATTAGCATATAGTTCTTGTGCTTCCCAGTAGCCACCCATGTAGGGCTTGATCATAGCACACATGTAAAGCAGATAATTATGGTCAACCCACTTCCTCCACTTTCTAGGAAAAGGCACTAACCACTGAACATAGTGTCAGAAACACGAAGAACAGTCAATGAATCCATGCTCGGTACTTGGCATTGATGCTGCTTGCTAAGTAATCAGAGTATGCATATGTCCTAGAAGTATGTAGGCTCTGAAGCAGCTCTGCACAATGGTATATCATCATTGTTGCTACTAATATTTCATAGTAATATTCCAGAATCTTCTTCTTTCTAGGCTCCCCTGATGGTCTGAGAAATTCAACAATTGGCTGCAGAATTTTTGCAGATGATTTGGGAAGCTCCCTGTGTCCCTGCTTACAACTGAGGCTCTGATTTACTTTAGAAATGTGTGTGTGTGTGTGTGTGTGTGTGTGTGTGTGTGTGTGTGTTGGCAAGATGGCTCACTGAGTAAAAAAGGCTTATTGTTCAAGACAAGCAACCTGAAATTAACTTCCAGAACCCATAGTGGAAGGCGAGAACTGATCCCTGACAGGTGTCCTCTGGCTTCCACATGTGTGCCATGATGCCCTAATAATAATAATAATAATAATAATAATAATAATAATAATAAAGTTATATGTTAAAACTTATTTTCCAGGTGCTCAGAACATCTGCTTAATTCTAAGAAAGCAAGTCAGAGACCTTCTAAGTAAGCACTTGTGGATTCTTGACATCTTGATGCTGCCGCTTTGATGTGGCTATTTTGATTTAGGGCTTCTGGGACATTTTTGTCACCGCTGAAAAAGCAAACTATTAAGCAAGCAGCAGCAGTTTTGTATAGCAAAGAAATGTGTACAGCAGGCACCCAGCCCTTTCTTGGGGTTGGGTGCATATGTGGACCTAATATCTGTGTGTTTCCACTTTGCTGTGGCTGTTTTGATGCCTAACATTTTCATGACACCATGTGGAACTTTCCAGAATGTTTGCTTTCCATGCTTGCTAGCCTCATTGTAATAGGGAGAGTGGGTCTGATTCTAATTTCGATGGCAGTAGGGTACAAGCGAAGCAGAAGGCAAGGGGTGGGGGTGGATGATCTCAGAGGTGTGTGTATGTGCTGGAGTTTGGGGAGGGACTGGCTGAGGGAGTGTGTTCTCTGTCTCAGAACACATACTGCCTCTATTCCTCACTGGCCATTTTCTAAGTTTTGATCTTCATTTTACTTTACAGTCCTGTCTGGAGAATTGTGCAAAAAATGGGAAAAGAGCCCAATGTACACCTAGAAATATGGTCTGTCTATGTTAAAGAGATCATTCTAATAAGTTTCTTCTGCTTGCTGCATGAAGCCCCTGGTGTCTGTTTCACATGGTGATGAAGGAAGTGGCCCTGCTTGCTCGCTGGTCCATGTGAACATGGAGAGCAGCCATACTGTTTTCTTTTTGTAGGTTGTCAGAGTGACCCTGTGTGCCCACATGTGGCAGCAAGTCAGAGATTGCTGCAATAGCAATTTAGTAAGTAGAATATAGGGGCCACTAAGAAGCTATGGGGTTCTGGATACTGGTTTTCATCTGAGTATCCTGCCAGGCTATGAAGTACTATCCCTGATTTTTAGAGCATTTTGATAGCCAATACATGAAACAGCTTGTTATGAAAAATTAGCTGTTGTGCCTTGGCCCAAAGTTTTAGCTCTGAGCTAAATACTCAATATCTTGCTGGAAAGCTGGGGCAACTGGATAGGTCCTTTCACTTATTGGCACCTTTGCCAGGAGCTTGATGAGTCTGTCTGTTCCTCCTGCCCTCTGGAGAAAGGAAGGTGCCTATGGAAGGCACCACACTAGCTGAACTGTGTGTGTGTGTGTGTGTGTGTGTGTGTGTGTGTGTGTGTTGTCTAGGTGGACAGATGAACATGTGTGTGCAGATGAGTGTGCACATATTTGAATGTGCATGTGGAGGTGAAAAGTCATTCTCCAGGCTCCATCAACCTTTCTTTTCTGAAGCAAAGTCTGGAGCTCACTGATAGGCTAGACTGTCTAACCAACAAACCCCAAAGATCTTCCTGTCTCTGTCTCCCAAGTGCTCGTATTTAAATGTACACCACCACAACCAGATTTTTCTATCTTTTCTTCTTTTCTTGTTTAATTTAAATTAGAGACAAACATGTTTTATGTGTCAATCCTAGTTCCCTCTCCCTTCCCTCCTCCTTTGCCCCCCACTGACCCCTATCCCATCCCCTTTCTGCGCCCCAGGGAGGGTGAGGCCTTCCATGGGGGATCTTCAGAGTCTGTCATATCATTTGGAGCAGGGCCTAGGCCAGGCCCTCCCCCATGTGTCTAGGCTGAGAGAGTATCTCTCTATGTGGAATGGGCTCTCGAAGTCCATTTGTATACTAGGGATAAATACTGATCCATTACCAGAGGCCCCATAGATTGCCCAGGCCTCCTAACTGACATCCACGTTCAGGGGGGTCTGGATTTTTAAAACAATCTTATTTTACATACCAATCACATTTCCTTCTCCCTCCCATCCTCCCACTCCCCCTACCACCTCCCCCCACATCCACTCCTCAGAGAGGGTGAGATCTCCCATAGGGAATCATCCAAGTCTGTCACATCATTTGGGGCGGGGTCAGTGCCCTCTGCCCTGTATCCAGGCTGAGAAAGAGTCTCTCCATAGGGAAGGGGCTCCAAAAAGCCAGTTCATGCACTAGAGATAAATACTGGTTCCACTGAAGTGGCCCCATAGACTGCCCAAACTCCCCAACTCTCACCCATGTTCAGAGTGCCTCGTTTGGTCCTATGCGGGTTCCTCAGCTGTCAGTCTGCAGTCAGTGAGCTCTTACTTGCTCAGGTCAACTGTTTCTGTAGGTTTCTTCAACATGTTCTTGACCCCTTTGCTCATATTATCACTCCTCCCTCTCTACAACTGGACTCCAGGAGTTCAGCCCAGTGCTTAGCTGTGGATCTCTGTATCTGCTTCCATCAGCTACTGGGTAAAGGCTCTATGATGGCATTTAAGATAGTTATTAATCTGATTAGGGAAGGACATTTAAGATTCCCTCTCCACTATTGCTTAGATTCTTAGTCGAGGTCATCTGTGTGGATTCCTGGGAATTTCCCTAGTGCCAGGTTTCTCATTAACCTCATAATGGCCCCTTCTATCAAGGTATCTCTTTCCTTGCTCTCCCTCTCTGTCCTTCCCCCACCTCAAACTTCCTGATCCCTCATCTTCTCCTCCACCTCCCCTTCTCCCCTCCCCACTCTCTTACCTTCCTCCCTCTCCCCCCACCTTCTTAATTTACTCAGGAGATCTTGTTTATTTCACAACCAGATTTTTAATGCGAGTTTTAAGGACCATACACTCATGTTTCCCTGCTTTCAGGACAATTGTTTTACTGACTGAGCCATTTTTTCAGTCTTTACTGAATTTTCATGAAGGAATATATAGCCTTCATTTCCCATATTATAATCTGGCTCCTCCCACATTATAGATCTTTAGGTCCCTGTCCTATGCCTCTGGTCTCCAGTTAAAAAGAAAAAAACACACTAAACCCTAAATCACACAGCTAGCAAATGCTAGTGTGAGGGCTAGTCTCCTGAAGTCCACACTCTCCCCATTACCATCACTGATGCTGCCAGGTCATCATTCTACAGGCAAATATTACGTTCAGGAAGATTTGTCTAGCCTGGTAAGAGTACCTGAACAAGTGTAACACCCTACTTCCTTGAAAGGCACTGTCATGACATCTACAATGATGTGTGTTACAATCTTCTAGGTGTTATAATCTTTTCATCTGTTTTGTTTTCATCCACCAAATAATGGTGTTTGTAAACAGAAGCTACCAAACATGTCCTTAGTTTGTCAAAGTGAAAATGTGTGTGCTTCATTCTAAAAATCTTACTGGCCTAGGAAGTGATATAGCATGGGAGAGCCACAAGGTTCTCACTTCCCCACTAGGGGTTCTATGGAGCAGGCTCTCAAGATAGCTTGTGTTCACTTGGGGTGGGTCATCTGGAAAATGGCCAAGTTGCATCTGAAGATGATAGTGGTCAAAATGCTGCCATACTATTTTGACTATGAGTGGCCTTCACTCATGGGCAGTTTAGCAGAACCCTGATTTTACAAGTGACATTTTAAAACTACAACCAACTGAACTTTCTTTTAGCTGTATACAGTGGCTTTTTCAGAGCAGAGGGAAGGCTTGAGTTACTACCAGGTGTGACTTTCACCTGTGTAGGATGTGGAAGAGTTGAACTCTGGGGCATTCTAATTTTGGTGTAATTCAGGCCACGACTTTCCAGAAGAATGCTCCTCCCCTATCATTTAGAGAATGAAAGAGCTCAAATTTTGGAACTTGGTGTATCTGGATTTGAAACTTAATGTCCTATAGATTTTAAAGTCTATCCCAGTAAAACGGAGTAGTGACATTCCCTTCCCAGAATCATTATGGGAGTGACTCTTGGGAACCCTACTAGTTTTCATGGTGCTTCTTTTTCTTATTATGGGGATCCAGGGTAATGGGGGGCAAACACATCCATATATTTTACAGGTCAGCAGGAATCCATTTGTGCCCTCATTACTCCTATTTTGTCCCCCTACTTTGCCTCTGTTATCTCAGCCCAGGGAATCACTAATCACAAGCTTCATTTCTGTTGCAGTGCCAACAATATGCCCAAGCAGGTGGAAGTTCGCATGCATGACAGCCACCTCAGCTCTGAGGAGCCAAAGCACCGAAACCTGGGCCTGCGCATGTGCGACAAGCTGGGGAAGAACCTCCTGCTCTCACTGACTGTGTTTGGTAGGTGTCGGAGGTCTCTCCTCCCCTTTCTCCAGAGGTCACACCATCCCTTTCTCCTGAATCACCCCATCCCTTTCTTCCAGTCTTTCCTGATTTGTAGGGGGAGCTAGCCCTGCCAAGGCCCTATTAGGCACTGTTGCCTCAGTGGCAAAATCTACCCTTAAACCAACTCTAGCCATCTTCTTGCCTCTGGAATCTGTGGTTCTCAATAACACGAGTATATATTTCCCATGAGTGTGAATATGCAGGTTCCAAGCCACACTTGTGAAGACTATGTTTTGAGCTGTGGAGAGAGAGGCCAAGCAAGGAATCTGCAATGCTGCAAACCTTCTGAGTGATCTCGCAGCAGGCAGGCAGTAGATCACATTTAGACAAGTACTTGCATCAAGATAAGGACAACAGGGCCAGGAAACCCCACTGAAAGGGACCAAAAGACCAGGCCTTTGCCAGAAGCATCATTGGCTTTGATTAACTGATAAAGTTGAGGAAGGAGCATGGAAGAGGCCCATTCTGATGCTCAGATATGTTCCAAGGCACGTTGGAGGTCTACCTTCCTGCTTCAGGCCTCATACAGGGATGATTCTTCAGTCTGAGCTGTCAATACAATCTCAGTCTTGGGTTTTCTACAGGGTTTATTGAAAACAGAGTAAATGGCAGTTTCTTGTAATGACAGCCACACAGTTTCTCTTCTCAATTCTTTCCTTGCGCTTCCGCTCTCTCTTAGGCTACACAGAAATGCAACTAAAGTTCGCCCCCCCCACCTCCTTGCTATCAGTCACACCCACCCATTCACCCACCCTTGTGTCATCTCAGCTGCCAGTGTTTCAAAACTGGGGACTGCCTGAGTTCAGTTAGAAACGGGGAACCACAGACATGCCTGAGCTTTTTAAAAAACCATCTACTATGTAATCAAATCTCCCTCATTGTAGAACTTTGTTTTTAACCTGTAGAGCCAAGAACAGGGTCTGTCATTCAGCTATGTCCTTCCCTGCACATCCCTAGAATTGACTCCATGACCCATGTGACTGGCAACTCCTTCTCCATCACCAAGAGGGCTCTGGCCTGGATTCTAGGTTTTGCTTTTGTGGCTTATGCTGGCCACCCATTTTTAACAGTCTAAGGATTTTCTTGCAGAATGTAGGAGTCTGTGAAACAAACAGCACCTCTGCTAGCATGTTCGCCCAACTTGGCTCCTCCCATATTATAGACCATTAGAGCCCTGTTCTATGCCTCTAACCTCCAGTTAAAAAAGGAAGACAGCAGATCCCATTGCCAGATCTGGCTGAGAGAAGAAAAGACACTGCCTGCTGGGAGTTGGTTCTTCTGAGAATCTGTGGTGCTACGTGCAATCAATATCTCAAAAGATTTTGGAGTCAAGTCTTTATTGTTCCCCATGGAGTGTTCTCTGGGCTCCTTCAGTGTCAGAATAGTTGGAATTGTTACAGAAAGGTATCTTGCTAGTTGTCAAAATCGGTTTCCCTCATGTAATGTCTTTATTTTGTGGCATTCATAGTCCATTAGGCAGACACAAGAGAAAGATGATAATCAGTGATAGGAGACCTTGGAGCTATTCATTTGACTAGGGCAAAAACGGAATTTAGATTTCCTCTTTCCCTTCTTGGACAGGTGTCATCCTGGGGGCAGTATGTGGCGGGCTGCTTCGCTTGGCGTCTCCCATCCACCCTGATGTGGTCATGTTGATAGCTTTCCCGGGAGACATCCTCATGAGGATGCTGAAGATGCTCATCCTCCCTCTCATCATCTCCAGTTTGATCACAGGTGAGAGCTCCTTCCTGGTGCCTGCCCAAAGTGCAGCAGAGCCCCTGCCTGCCTTTTGGGTTCAAAGTAGAATTTCTATTTGGCTGAGTCCGTGGACGGGACTGTATCATTGCATTTGTGAGCTTTGTCCTGTCTCTAAGATAAATCACTGGTCCTACAAAAAGAAAGAAAAATACCATCTGTCATTCACTCTGCCTTTCCTTCTAACAGCCAAGGGTATAAAAGAATAGCTATGTATTAAAGGTGATAGTATATTGTTATTTCATTTTTAGTATTTTCAAAAATGTGTTTTATTCAGAAACTGATACAGGAACTGAAAACTTATACTGCCTTTATTATTTACTTAGACAGTTGGGAACTATGAATTGAAAACAGATTAAATGCTAAGCATAAAAGCTGAGGGCATTTTTTAAAAAGAATTATATCCTTACTATGTGATAACATGCTTTCTTATACTTTCGGCTAAGAGAATTAATTAATTTGAGTTTTTCCTATGTTTGAACTCATATTGGTAATTTTCTTCTTACCAGACAATATTATTGAAGCAGGGTATGATGTTTAGCTTAGTGACTACTTTGGAGTTAAGAGTAGGATGTGCCAAGCTGGTTCATAGCTCGGTGCCAACGAGCCAGGTGACTTTGAGTGCTGTCCTTTGCACTGAGCCCTTTGTGGAAGCAGGGCTCAGCAACTCCAGCGGACTCAGATGCTGGCCCAGTTGCCCCACAGCCTCACATCAGAAACACTGGGTTTCAGATTCAAGTGTCAGGGACCTACTGAGTTTGTCAGCATTAAACCCTGGGCTGAGTGACTTTGCGCTTCTCTCCAAATGAGATAAAAATGTTCTCCTGGCCTGTTCAGCAGATCTCCTGCAGGCCATCTGGGAGAGACCTGGCTTCCTTGGGCCAGAATTAGACTTTGGGTTGGAGAGAGAAGTGGGTCATATGCGGGTCAGATTGATTCAGAGAAATTCACACCAACTTCCTCCCCCGGGGATGTGAAGAACAGCAGATCCCCAGAAAGGGCTTCAGTCTCTCTGTTCAGCAAAGGTAGGAACTGAAACCAGGAAGTGGGCACACTGAAAAAAACATCTGGAGAAGAAACCCACGGTAGGCTGAGGTCTGTGTGACTTAACCTGGAGTTTCCTCTCACCTCCCTCAGTGCAGATGTTGCTGGCAGCTGCTTCGTATACATGTTCTCTGGCAGCCACATGAGGGCCGCCATGTTTCAATACAAAGTGATGGGCAGGCCATGCTGACTCTCCATTTAAGTCTCTAGTAATGTATTCTAAAGACATTTGAGCACGCCTTCGATGCCCTAGCTTTGGATTCTCCTAAATAAGGACAATAAATAGTAATAGGAACATACAAGTGAAACACTAGCCTCAGCTAGACCATCACTTCAGAGAAGATAATGGAAATGGAAAGGACAAAAATGGAAAGGACATTATCTTGGAATTAAAAAATGGAAAACTCTTCAATGTTATTTTCATATATGTGATAGTGACTGACACAGTATGTAAATCATACAACCATCTGTAAACTATGAGCCAATTATCACCAACTTTCCTCAGCTCTCAAGAATCTCAAGAAGTGCTGGATGGTAGTGGCGCATGTCTTTAATCCCAGCACATGGGAGGCAGAGGCAGGTGGATCTCTGTGAGTTCAAAGCCAGCCTGGTCTACAGAGCGAGTTCCAGGACAGCCAGGGATACACAGAGAATCCCTGTCTTGCCGGCGGAGGGTGGGGGGGGGCGATGTCAAAAAATACCTCTAGAAAATAGAAATTTGAAGTGTAGAATTTAGTAGGAAGAGTGTTAGCTGACCATTAATGTATCTGAATGATAGGAAACCAGGGGTTGCACTTATGTAGAGAATGAGGACATGGGTAAAAAAAGAACAGAACTGATCTTTCTGGATTTCTTTTAAACCCAGGGTTGTCAGGCCTGGATGCTAAAGCCAGTGGCCGCCTAGGCACAAGAGCCATGGTGTATTACATGTCCACGACCATCATTGCCGCAGTGCTGGGGGTCATCCTGGTGTTGGCCATCCACCCAGGCAATCCCAAACTCAAGAAGCAGCTGGGGCCAGGGAAGAAAAACGACGAGGTGTCTAGTCTGGATGCCTTTCTGGATCTCATTAGAAATCTCTTCCCGGAGAACCTGGTGCAAGCCTGTTTCCAGCAGGTAACCCAAAGCCCCCAGTGTCATCCCTGTCCAATCTCCCACCTAATCCTTGAGACATAGAGACAGTTTCAACTCCAAATAGCAATTTTCTTAATACTTATTTATTCCTGCCAGGCCCAAGTGTTGTGCAAAGTGCTCTGGGGAAGGATCCTAGGTTTGGAGTCAGATGGCTTGATTTCCAGAATTGTTGTTGCCTGATCCCTTGATATCTCAGCACTCTGATACTCACCTTTTCTTGTTTCCTTTTGGTTCCCATCTCTGAGCACATTTTTACAAATCTTGTTCACAACCCTCTAAACTGTCCAGTGGTTCCCAACACTATCTCAAAGCTTTATGTAGTAAAAAAAAAAATACTGATTTAATCCAACCTACAAAATGAGAGTCTCTAATCCATCCCCAAGATGAAACAGGGGATTGAGGATAATTTTTTTAATTGTTAAAAGAGCATACATCTATAATCCTAGCCCTGGTGAGGCAAAGATAGGGGGATCCCTGTGGTTTTCTGACCAGACAGTATAATTGAATCTGCAAGTTCCTGGTTCACTGGGAGACCCTGTCTCAAAATCTAAGAGGGAGAAAGACCAAGGTAGGTGCTGATATCAACCATTGGCCTCCACATGCACTTTCAAACACACACACACACACACACACACACACACACACACACTTATAACTTTTAAAAATAGATAATTCTGCTGAGACCACTGAGTCATCAGCCAAGGCTACATTTTCTGCCATGTTTTCCTTCCGAAGGCCCAACTTAGGTTGGCACACGTCTCAATCCCCATTAGCTCATGAAAAGACTACACTGGAGCTCATGCATCTCCTTCAGTCCTTCTCAGGGAACCACTGAAGAATGACACGGGCAGCTTAGAAGAAGGATCTGGATTTCCAGCCCTCAGTGCAGTGCCAGCTCCCACTGAGCCCATATCACACTAGGCTGGGACGGGTTTCTCTGATCTTTAAATGTCATCTGATAAAGAAATGATGAGCATTTAAAATGAGAGATCTACTCATCACCTTGATTTGATCATCGTCAGTGTCTGCATGTATGAAAATATCCCATATATATGTATTCATGTGTGGAAATCTTCCATTACACACCATAAATATGTATAATTAAGTCAATGTGGCCGGCCTCATGTTAAAGAACACCATTCCAGACAGGGGAAAGTAGGATGTAGAGTGACCAAAAGCTGGAGAAAGGAATCTTACTGAGGTCCCCCTCTTCATCTGCTTGCTAGCCTCGCTTAGGAGGATGAAGTTGCTTGCTTTGGAGTAGTAGATACAAGTGGCTGCTGAGTCTATTTTGAACATTTTGAAATGTGAGTTTTGGATCCTGGGAAATTGGCTAAGAAAAGGTCCGACAAATCTGATCTCCTTCCTGTGCCTGGTCACACCTCAGATACCTTCAGTTCAGCTTGGAAAACGAGACCAGAAAGCCCCAGGACTCAGAGTTACTACTCTGATCCTGTTGGATTCAGATTCTGTAGTGTTGGCCATATTCACATTTGGGGTCTTCCCCGGATGATGATGGTCTTTACCCAATGGCAAAGAGTTCTATCAGGACTCTAGGGCATAGAAGACTATATCAGGATCTATTCCTCCCCTGCCATGATCCTACCTCTTCCTAGGGACACTTGGCTTTGGTTTCCCCAGCTAAGGCCAGTGTCAAGATTCCTTTGAGTTGGGGCAATATGAGGAATAATAGTGTACAGTCCTCTACTTTGAGGTGAAAATGGGTATAGATCCTCACTCTGGTTCCAAGGGCCTTGGCCAGAGGGGACCATTCTTACAGAGTAACACAACATTGACAGAGGTGGAGGAGGAGGGTTGGTACTAGAGTCCTTTCTGGGTCCCTGGGGTCTGGCAGGGAGTGTTTTTAAATTGCCTGTTTTGAGTGAAGGGGGATTCCTGACCAGAATTAGAAACAGATGTAAAGAGGAAGGAGAACTATTCCTAGATTGGAGGAAGCTTTCAGTCGTCCTGGCTTGCTCAAGTAAGACCCTGTATGGGTGAAAGCAAGGGATCCTCCTGCCTGTGATTTAGGACTGGCTGGGAGATCATAAACTTTCACATGTTTCCTGTAACATGTAGGAAGGCAGAACTCCTTATTTTAAAAAAAAAACTGAGTCAGGGGGATGGCTGGTTTTCTATTGAAAAATAACTAGCATGACAGCTATGGGTATAGACAAAGCTGCATGTAGCTGAAGGTGGGAGTCTGGCAGGAAGAAAGGTGTGGAGGTGAATTAGGAGACACTTGTGAGTTTTCAGGTTAGGGGTGCTGGTAAGTTGGACTCAGGTACTACAGCTGGTATTCACATGGCCCAACCACAACAGGCTCTGTGAGACCTCGGACAGAAGACCTGACCAATGTGCCAGTGTCCCTGTCTCCTCGGATTCAACTGAAACCCCTTCCTGTGCTGTTCGGAAGCTAGATATTTAGAGCCAAACATGATTCTTGTTGAATCTGGATTCACTGACTAACTAAAAATCAGGGCTTTGGATTAGTTATAGGACATACTAGATGCAAAGCCATTGGCTCCCTGCCTCCTATCTGATCCTGTCTTTCACCATTTACCAAGGTCCATGATAACCTCTTCAGAGTAGTCCAAGCTTTGACATCTCTACCACTCTCAGGATGAGTCACCACCTTTGCTGCTCAGAGCCTGGCAGCTGCATCCAGAAGTGTCCTATCTGGTCACTTTTGTGTTCTCTCTTCTTGCTGCCATTGCCCAGAGCTTGAGCCATCCTCTCCTTGTAGCCAGTCATGGGTCTCCTCTTATCCTGCACAAGTGCATATGGCCAGATAAACATGGGAGACACCTGCCTCCTTTGATAGAAGCCCGCCCATCCTTCTCTCCTGCTCTTGTCATCTCGGTTCTGCGTTGCTGTCAAACTCAGCCACCCAAGGATCAAGTCAGCATAACTTAGCATGTGCTACAGGTGGTGGGAGGAACTCAATGGTGGCCAGGCCATCTGAGTTCAAGTGACAGTTCTGCCAATGAGTATGACGTCTGAAAAGTCAGTTGACTTCTCCATGCATCCTATAGTCTGCATCTATTCAAGGTTCAGCCATCTGTCACCTTCTATGTGCCAGCACCCACATTCTATGATTTTGAATGATTTCTATTTTAATGCCCTTGAAAGTGGTATTTTTTGAGGCTAAGATGTGAATTTTTGCATGCAGGATGCCTGACACTTTTAAAATTAGAACCATTTCCAAGAATGTCGAGGAATAAATGGAGACATGCTTGGGGATTGTTAAGCAAGGGTTAGCTGGTTTCGCTGCCTGAAAGAAAGGGTATTTTCCTACCGTACATAAGAATCACATGATTCTGGAAAGATGCCTACTGGCAGCTGTCGCTCTTGGTGCCCAGATTCCAGCAGAGCATGGTTTTTGGAAAGACCCAAGGCCTAAGAGAGGCTTCTGGTGACTCCATGCAGCAGAAGGAATATCTAGCTGGGTATCACAGTTTGGAAGACAGCAGTTGGACATATGGCATCATTCCCCAACCAGGGGTGTTATCATGGGGAGGAAAAAGGGACACTTGTTCCTCAGCAACTGTACTGCTCAGGGTGCTTAAGGGGTGAATGGATTTCATAAGTTTTGTAATAATCTTGTCAGTAGGACAGTTGCACCTTACTGCATATACAGTGAGATAACATGCTGTTGAGCGTAAACACAAACTAATTCCCATTTTTGTTAGCCCCATTTTGTCATTTCTCAGTTAACATCCTGGGAACCTTAAACTACATGGTTGGCTGGGCTCTTGTTGACCTTTTAGACCACACCTCATCTTTATACTTTTTTCTTTCCTCCTCCATTAGATTCAGACAGTGACAAAGAAAGTCCTGGTGGCACCTCAGGCTGAGGAGGTCAATACAACCAAGGCCGTCATCTCCATGTTGAATGAGACCATGAACGAGGCCTCTGAAGAAACTAAGATCGTTATAAAGAAGGGCCTGGAGTTCAAAGATGGGATGAATGTCTTAGGTAGGCAAACTGGTTGTTAGTGTCCTTCACCTCTGTTCCTACAGTGACCAGCCTTTTGAAGCTGCCTTCTTCCCTCAGTTCTTATTTTCCCAAGCTTTCTTCTAAAACAATAGCAAAACAAAACAAAAAAACAGTAACTCTGTTGGCCTCTAGGTGGCGCAGGAGGCTCTCTCTGGGGAACAGTATGAGGGTCACTGAGATTGAGAGCTGAGCCATGAAGGAAGAGGGATAGAAGGATGGGCAGAAGGGAGACCTCCAAAGGGATATGGCAGCCGGAGATCAGGGATGGGAAAATAGGAAGGGACTGACTTTTTTCAGGTACATTCCTTGGCTCTGTCTAATATTGTCAGGTCACCTTATCTAACTATCCATTTTATGAAATAAAGTATCCTTATCTTTTTCATTTATTAAGCATTTTTTTTCAGACGTCACTGTGCAGGAGCACCTTGCTGGTTGCCCCATCCCAGCTTGCAGTCTATAACAAATGCAGAGCTACCAGTATTGGCCAGCATTAGTTGGGAGAACAAAGGGGTACTGTAGAGCATCATGTTTAATTATCTAGGATTTCAGGGACCTCTCTTCTCAAGCTTGGTGCCTTCTCCCCACTCCATCCAATGGTTCTCTTCAGCTGGACAGATGTGGGTTTCGGGATAACTCACTGGTTGTCTACCTCAGGGCAAGTTGCTCCACTTCTCTGAGTCTCAGAGGGAAAGTTGAAATGGGATTGGCATGGGTTTCGTAGACAGACCGTTGTAACTATGAAATGAGGTTGTATATATAAAGCACACTAGCACATGCCTTGAGTTCTGTTCAGACAAGCTCTGACCATTATTAAACGTAGACAAAGAACCGAGGAGGAACTCAACCAGAAAACATCTCACAAAGTGCGGGGGTGAGGTTTCCCTCATGGGATTGGCTCCAAATTTTCCCAGTTTTACTACCCACCCAGCCATCTTAGGGCTTCAAGGTGGGCCCACACACCTCAAATTCCACCACTCATCAATATTATGATGTCAAGAAAATGGGACATTTGTCCATATGATGGAAAGAATTGGAAAAATCTGAATTTGTAAGCGACATCTCCCAACCAAGTTTTCTAAGGACTCAGGTGAGAACTCCTGTCCTTTTGTCATCTCAGAGATCAAGTGCCCTTGCGTCCTTGGACTGTTATGGGATAAACTTGAATTCTAGGTCAATAACAAATACCAGTTATTTAGCATAAGTTTGTCCCAAGTGCCTGGGCTATTCTAAAACTAAGTGGGGTAAAAAGAGTTCATATGTATCTGGAATTCAGAATGTGACTGGGAGTCCTGTTCGATTGGTTATTCTGTGTTTGGGGGTCCTTCTTCATGGACATCCATACTGTAGAGAGGGAGGCAGAGGAGCAGGCAACCCTATGACCACAGGGCTGAAGCCCATCTTTTTTGTTTGGACTGGAAGAAAGCAGGTTGGATAAGGTAAGTGTGAGGGAAGAGATAAGTGGGTTGCCAGGCAACAAGTGATCAGTAAACACAGGTGACAAGCAGTGGGAGGCCAGGGGTGGTTGGAGGAAGGAGGAGGAAGTGTGAGAGTCCCTCTGGGAAAGTTTTGCAGCCTTGCCAGCAGCCTCTCTCTCCACTGTAAAGATACCTACAGCCCTTGCTGTAGCCCTTCTCAGCTCCCCGGGTCCCTTCTGGTGGGTCATAACTTTAGATCCCACCTCCTTGAAACCCCTCCTCTCCAGAAGGCCAATACTTTGGAATAAATGATTCAGACAGTCCTAATCTTTTCCAGAGTCTTGATGAATTCTAGAAAGTCACATGACCTTTGGCTGTGCCTGGGAGTTTCAAAACACTGGCAACTCGCTCAGCCCCAACGGCCAGTCTAAGAGGGCTTTGTTCAAATGAAACACCCCTGTTCCAGTGAGCAATTTCAATTAGGCAATGTTTACCCAGGGAAATGGCAGGCCGAATCCGGCTTTCCATCCAAGTACACAGCAAGGCACTGTGAAGCCAAGGGAAGGTAGATTGTTGAGAAACTTCCCATTTGCCAATCACAGCTGAAATAAGGTTCTTTCCATGGTCTTGCAAGAGTTAGTAGCTTTGTTTTTTTTTTGTTTTGTTTTGTTTTGTTTTTCTGCTCTTTGATTTTTGGAAAGTCCCAAGGACTAGGCGTTGCAATACAGTAAGATACAGCCCAAGCTCTGCCTTCCACTTCCTCAAGGACATGTTTTTCCCCTCGGAAACCTAGAGAGCTACAGTGTGTGGTGCAGCACACATAAGATTCCAGCACTTAGAAGGCTGAGACAGGACTAGTCAAAGACCAACTTGAGTACAAATCAAGACTGATCTCAAAAACCAGCTAAACAGGTGAACTCCCAAACCAATTCTTGATCCCCACCTTAACTCTAATTGCTTAAACCAGTGTCAACTGCTCCTTTAAAAATCTTTTTATGTTTTTTTTTTTATAAACTCATAGATATTCAAATGTCTGTCGTCTCTGAGGGGAGTCTTCATTCTAATTCTTTGGAACCTTAAGACCTTGTACATCATCAAATAGTATTAACTAAGCAGCAATTGGACTTCTCAGCCTGAGTTTTCACAGATGGAGTCTTTGCCATCATACCCAACAAACTGCCCTCCATAGATTGAGAGAAGGGGAGAGGAAAAGCTGGGACCCAACATTCAATATCATTGAAAATTAGTTAATTCTACCCCATATCCAGTCTTCACTGAGCCCCATCTTCCTTGGGTCAGTAACTCAATAGTGAAGTTACTAATCAATCCCTCAGGTCAAGAGCCAAGGAGGAGAGATATTAAATTCCAAATATTAGCAAACTAAATACAAGGGCTGCCTTATTTTCACTTAAAAGAGATGGGATCCTATCAAGCATAGTTGACTAGGCTCATGAATGGTTGGTGTAGAGAAGAAGGGTGGCTTTGGGAGATGTGAAAAAAAGGATAAATAAAGTCAGAGGCTCAGAGAGAAGGAATTTATGTCTAAGAGAATCAAATTACAATGCTGTGGTGTACCTAATAGAAGCCAAATTCAGGCATAACCGGATATAATAAGGAAAGACTGGAAAGGAGGCCTGCTAGTCTGAGGAAGGGGAGAGAAGAATTGGAATATGGCCAGTTCTTCAGAATCAGATAAGAAGCCAAATGGACAAGAAGTGTTCTGTGGCTGGGAAAATAACTGTGACTTACACTCCATGTATGTAGTCAGGATTAGGTCACCAAGACTGGGAATGGGTTAAGGGTCCAGGAGCGTGTGTTGATTGCAGTAAAAAAATCTGGACTTAGATAGTCCCCAGGCAGTACTGGGACTACTGTTAGCCACAGAGTATGCCCAGTCCCTGGGTGTGTGAAGGTGAGACACTGGGGGTGAGGTGGAGGGTAGGGTGGGGTGGGGAGGCGAGGGAGAAGGTTGTGAATCTCTGGCAAGAGACACCAGGCTTGGTTTTTGAGGAAGTAAAAAACAAGGGAGGGTCACCAGGTCCTTAGACAGATGATGAGGCAAAAGGCCTGGGGTTGAGTGTTGGATTTGCTTCTTCAGTATGTAGTGAAATTAGGCTGCCATCAAGAGGGTGGGGAGTAAGCTCCCCAAATCCTTCCTGCCTTGTGTTAAGGTTGACCCTGGAGGCTGATGTCAAGAAAAGAGAGAAGATGGCTGAGAGGGGAGGAATTGGCAAGATTTAACGATTAACTCTGCCTTCTGGCTTTATTATCCTGAAAAAAAAATAAGAAAAAAAAATAAAACATGACAAGTAGAATTTTAAAAGGGGTGATTAATTGGGGTTTCCTAGTTAGTTTGGATTTCTTGTTCTTTCCTGTTTCATCATTCTTCTTCCTTCCACATTTGCTATGTAGCTGGAGGGTAGTCCCAGGGTGACGTGTACCTGCCCTGATTATCTCAGAACAACACCAAAATGGTCTAGACATTTCTCCAGCAAGGGCTTTATGGGCTAGTTGGTCTCTGCTGTTCCAAAGTTTGCATGACAATCCCAACAGGCCCCTCTCTGTTAATCTGTGTGATAATGGGAGCTGTTCACACATGATTTGCTAAGTGAGGAGGAGGATAAGACAGCACCTTTCATTTTGGAATGAAAATGGCTTCCTTTTCTTCAAGGAATTCACACCTGAACTGCTTAAAGTTTAGCCTGCACATGTGAAAAATGTCAAGAAAAGCAACAATTATAGGATGGGGGGTGGCTTTCAGTGTGAAATGTAATGTTTTTTTTTTTCCTTCTAATTCCTAATTTATCCAAGGGTGACTAGCAGGCAAAATTGGCCCCATACATCAGTCATGCTGAAGCATTAGGGAAAAGAAGCACACACTTGGTCATTTGTCCTGAGTAATGTTCCTTGTCCACAGGTCTGATAGGGTTCTTCATTGCTTTCGGCATTGCCATGGGGAAGATGGGTGAGCAGGCCAAACTGATGGTGGAGTTCTTCAACATACTGAATGAGATCGTAATGAAGTTAGTGATCATGATCATGTGGTAAGTTTACTTAGTCTGACATCATTGTAACGGTGCCATATAAAGCCTTGGGGTCCCCAGAGGACAGTGGAGTCCCCGGAGTATGAAAAGGGTAGGCGTGGACCAGTGGGTGTGGAGAAAGTGGTAGAAATTCTCCTTCTTTTCCTCTTGCTTACCTTTCCCCACAATGGTGATTATTGGTCCAAATCTGATGTGTTACCTAATTCTGTTTGTCCTTTGACTTGAGGATGGATTTTTTTTTTTTTCATTTCCCATGTTCATCCCAGCTCAGGCTTCTATAAGGAAGTGCTATATACAAAGTGACTTGCTCACCCCAGATACTTCTCTGAGTTCAGAAAACTGGAAGTCTGAAATCAAGGTGTCTGTATGACCAACTTCTAACACATTTATCTGAGTTATGGAAGAAACAGCTCAGGGGAAAAAGGAAGAGAGAACATCCCAGGTCCCCTCCCAAGAGCATAGTTTTAGAGTTATTTCTGCTGCTATAACAACATACTGCAGGCTAGGTACAATCAAAAACAGAGGAATTAAAAAATCACAGGTTGGGAGACTGGGAAGTGCAAAATCAGTCATTAGCAGATTTGGTATCTGGTGGGGGGCTGATCCTTGCAGATGATTCTTTATACAAGCCCTCACGTGGTGGGAGGAATGAATAGGCTTCGCCCAGGCACTTCTATTAAAACACTAATCTCATTTAAGAGGGCTTATCTCCAAGTGGCCCATCTCCTAAACCTCTGTTCTGAGGTTATGACTCAACACATAGGAATTTGGGGGACAGAACTGTTCAAACTTTAGTAGACACTAGTCTCATTCATTAGGGTGTAGTCTAATCTCCTCTAAAAGCCCCACTTCTACATGCCCAGTATTAGGACTTAAAATTTTAAATAGGGGAGAAGCAATATATATTCAGTTCATCAAAATGGCTAATAAAATAAAATAAAACGAAGAAAAAGAAAATCAATAGGATAATAACATTCCATAACATGATAATTAAAAGAAATATACATTATCTCCAGAGAACCAAATGTGGTGATGTGTTTGTGGTTGCTTCTCATGAAAACTCTAGGAATGAGAGGCCAACTGGAAGCTTTGAGGTTTCAGTTCAATAAGATAACCAAAATATTACTTTTGGCATGTTCAACTCATCACCTCATTGAATGTTTTTTTTAAAACAAAGGGATAAAGGAGTACTGGTAAAATGCAGTGTTCCCGTCTGTAATGGTGCTGGGTTTTCAGCTCCTTAGGTGATGCTACATGTTTGAGTACTTATTTTGTATAAGACTTAAGCTAGCTTGGGATGATGTGTCTTTTAGGTCCACGTGAGTCTTCTACTGGCTTGGTAGATAATGACCCTAAGCAGCACCAGCCTTTTGCTTAAACAGTATTTCATGTCCTTGTTGCCTAGAATTTCCAGCAGTATGCACATCCTTGCAGTAAAGATGTGGATGGCATGAGTAAAGATGAAGATAGTCATCCTTCCTTCACACCCCTGTCATTTCCACAGAGTCCTTGGAGGGAATTAGGTTCTTCAAGGAAAGTTGATGAAGCATTGGAATGGAGAGTATGGATTAGGAAGTTACCACTTGGTGAAACCTTCACCCCTAAAGGTTTAGCACATTGTCCCTGGGTTTAAAGAGGGCTGTGAGTCTGGCCTGCAGAAGTTTCCTTACAGGTTTCCATTGTCCCATCCAGAAAGGTAAACAGGTTTTTTATGACTAGCGAGCGGCCCATGCCTATCATTCTTTAGGTGTCTCATCCATATCATCATTTGATAACATGAAGCCTGTGGGAAGGTTCAGGGTAAAATTGGTAGCACTGTTAGCTGACCCCTCAAACCAGAAATCATCATTGTTTTACTTAGGGTTTCTATTGCTGTGACAAACCCTTTGACCAAAGAGCACATTGGGGAGGAAAGAGTTTATTATATTAGGCTTACACTTCAGCATTGCTGCTCATCACTGAAGGAAGTCAGGACAGGAACTCAAAACAGGGCAGCATCCCAGAAGCAGGAGCTGATGCAGAGGCCATGGAAGGGACCTTCTTACTGATTTGCTTCCCATGCCTTGTTCAACCCAACTTTTTATAGAACCCAGGACCACCTACCCAGGGACAGCACCACCCACCATGGGCTGGGCCCTCCCCTATTGATCGCTAAATTAGAAAATGCCTTACAGTTGGATCTCATGGAGGCATTTTCTCAGCTGAGGCTCCTTCCTCTGATGACTCTAGCTTGTGTCAAGCTGACACACACAACCAGCCTGTATAATTATATTCTTTATGTAGTGGTAAGAATAGTTAAAAAAGCAAAATCTAGCATTATGAAGATAATATAATTTGTATTGTTAGTTCCATTTTTTAAAATTATTTTGAGATAGGCTCTCATGTAGCCCAAGAAAGACCTTGACTTGACTCTCCCTCCACATTTGGCTTCAAAATTATGATCATTAAAATGTAGATTGGAATGATTTTTATCTTGTTATGTGCGCAACTTCAATTATTATATTATTAAATTAACTCATTTATTAAAGAAATTATTATCATTAAATCACAATTAAGACTTACCATTTTTTTCAATATGCGTGGTATTAATTTGATAACTTTCCATGGTCACATTTTTTATCCTAATAATACCTACCAAAACAGATGGTTTCAGAAGCCCATTTTCTGATGATCGAAGTAAGCACAAAGGTTGAGTTGCCCAGGGATGCAATGCTGTATTGTCCTAACTCAGTTTCTTTTGGAGCTCGAAGTAGATGAAACCCAAGAACTTCTGGCTACCAGCCATGTGACCTTAAGCAAGTTAGACCCATTTAAATCCTAATATTCTAATTAGTGAGAGAAAATAATTGTAAACTCCATGTCATGAAGTTGCTTCGAGAATTAGGTGAAATGGTGACCCCAGTCATTGAAACTGTTTTGTTTCCAGAAGGACCACAGCATTTCTATGAATAGGCCTGTGGTTATTCTGTTTCGACCATTACCCCCATCAATCTAACCCTTGTTCCTGCATCTCTGTGTGTATAATTCTTTAAGAAGTCTGAAAACCTCATGATTTTTTTAATTGAAAGTTCTGTAACATCATTTTTTTTTGAAAATTCTTTAAAATTTTTTTCAAAACCCTGAAAAACTCAATAGGAAGTAAAACTTCCTATAGTCTTCCTCTACTAGAAAAAAAAAGAGGTATCTGCCATTTCTTTGTTTCTACCAGTTGACTACTGGTCTTCCACCATCCATACTGTTAAAGGAAGAAGCATTCAATGGAGCTTGTTAAACCTGGGAAGGATGGCTCTCTGCAGGGCTGCCTCAAAGGAAATAGGGACCTCACAGCAATGTGCTTTTACAGTGATGGAGAGAGGCTAGGCTCAGAACCCAACATACTGGAAAGTGGGAATTGATAACCAATGGGGCAGGGGCACACCAAGAGTCAGAGGGATTCTGCTAAGGACCTACCAGAACTTTTTGAAGTCAGGCCAGGTTGGCCAGATACTGCCATGAGAAACCGGATCCCAGGATGGGGATGCTTTGCTAATCTGACTCAATGGGATTCCTTGTTGAAGCAGTGTTTTAAAGGAAGGAGAAAAAATGGAGCCTAAAGATGGAGGCATCTAACTAAAGTTTGGTAAAGCAAAGAATTTTTTTCAGTCCATCTGTTCTTTCACTCAATAAGTAATGCCTTCTAAACTGACAGTGATGTGGTATAATGATGAATGCCGCAGAGGGTTCTGGCCTTCATGAGCCTCATATGCTAGTGAAAGAAGGGAAAGAAAGACAGACAAATGGAAACAAATGTGACTTCAGTTAGTGATACAGACAACAAAAGCAGGGCGTGGGGTAGAGAGTGAAGGAAGGGGGCCAAAGTGGCCAGGATGAGCTGTGTAGGAACAAGGAAGGCACGGTACAGACCTGACAGCACGGTGAACAGAGAGAAGGGTCCTGAGGAGAGGAAGCAGAGAGGGGGAGGCTTTTGAGAATCAGAACAAAGATCTGGAGCCACTGGAGTGAGAATGGTTGAAATGACGACAGGAATGAAGGTGGAGAGACAGGCAGGAGTCAGAGTCTCCAGGGCTCTGTGGGTCACACGGGGGTTGGATTTCATTGATTTGTGACAGGAAGCTTGGGGGATAGTGACCTTATAAACAGGTCTGAAAATACAGAGCTGAAAATACAACTCACCTGTGGGTTTCATGGAAACATTCCCTACTTCTAGCCCAATGACTGTGTCCTGAACTGGAAACGAACCCAAAAACTACTGGGTGTCATTTGGCTTCAGAACTGTTGGGTGGAGACTTAAGCCTCTATTTGCACTTAATTATGGTCTTTTTGTTTCAGCTCATGAGTTTTGAATGGTAGCCTTGGACTTTGGGCATTTCTGCCTTTCTTTTCCATGGAATCTCATCTCCAATGAGCTCTTTCATTAATATGGAAGCCTAGGAATACAGCTCACATCAGGTGTAGGGAAGTAACAGCGTAAGTCCAAGGGCAAAGGCTTTTTTATACCCCATTAATACTCATTCAGTTTGGGTGAGCAAGTGTTTGGAGTAGCAAAGGCTTCTACATTCCATATTCCCCCACTCTTATGCTTCACCTTATGGCATTTGGTTAATATTCTCTATCTACAATGGGAGTTGGTGCCTACCCCCATTGCCCAAACTCTACCCTTGCCTCTCTCTAGTCCATCTGGCTTTGGCTCAAATGTGCTGCCCCTGGGGAACTTTGTAGCTGGTTTTCCTTGGCAAAATGCCTTGATAACATGTTTCCTCCATTCTACGAATTACTTGACCTGTGGAGAGGAGTGGGGAATGACAGAGAATTGAATACCATCCTAAAAAGCTCATATCTGTGTTTCTCTAGACAGCTTTAAAGGATGATTGGTGTTTGAAAAGGAATTAACCTCTTGGTTTATGAAGGTAAACCCTTCAGGGCACCATGGGAAGGCATGCTGTTCCATTATTTACAGTCTCAACGACAAAGTGCTGACCCCTGGGGCTCCATAGCTAATTTATGAGATGTTGTGACTATGGGCACACCAGAAGAATATCAAAATGGCAAGAAACATGAGGGTTAAATGTCATGACAGGAGGCTTGTTTCACACTCCTATTAATCTCTAGAGAAGCTGTCGTCAACCATGGCAAGCATGCACCCCAGGGAAAAGCAAGTGAGGATCAGGCTGGAAGCTCCACAGAGAAGAGCAGAGCCACGCTAATGTTCTATTCTTTTGCTGGCAGATACAAATCGGCTCTTTCAGAACAAGGTTTGCTTATAATGCTATCTGCCTCTGGGTAGCCCATGAGAGGGTTTAGAAAGACTCATTAGCTCAGACTTGGATAAAAAGGACAAGGAGAGGCCTTGGTGCCCAAGTTTGTGCAAACAGAAGCTGTCATTCAATTCTTTCAAGAGTAAGGAATCAAACTGAGGTGGATGGGGGAGGAATTCACCAGTGCACACAGATGCACTCACTTATGAGCAGTGAACACAGATGTTCATTCACATTTAAGCTTCATGGCAACTTGGTGAGGTTGGAGTCTAACCCCAGTGCACACACTGGAGAAGTGAAAATCTATCACAGAGTGAGGTGCTGTAGTCAGTGAAAGGCTGGGCAAAGTCTATGTTTTCTACCTTTAAGGACTCGAGTCTGCTCTCCATTGCCTTTCTTTAACTTAGGAAAGGACTGGGGCCAGGCCTGATTCCCCGGAGGAAAGAAGGAAGGAAAGAAGGAAGGAAGGAAGGAAGGAAGGAAGGAAGGAAGGAAGGAAGGTGGAGGGTGGGAGGGAAAGAAGGAAAGAGGGAAGGAGGGATGGAGAAAGGGAGAAATGGAGAGCTTGTTTACACAGTCCTTTCTTTCCTGACCACCTCATTGGGAGCCTTATTTGGGGATTTTATTTTCTTCTTAGTTATTCTCAAAAATATGTCTATAATTATTGGTGAGGTATAAATCTTCCTACAAATACCTTATTTCAGTCAGATACCATCAGATTGTGAACAAATTCATAGCCAACAACACCTCTATTAGATAATACTACTATTACTAATTATTATTATAATTAATTATAATAAAGAATGGTCCCAGACAAGAAAAAACTAAGTCAAGATGAGTTTTCCCATGAGTAGGAGCAGAACGGTTTCCAAGTGCTCTATAAACTAAGGGCAGCATACAAACTGGGGTAAATATGGGGTAAATTGGTATATGGTGATTGTATGCCAACTTACAAGGAACTGGAACGGTGCACTAAAGGGAAGCAGTTCGGTTTGGTAAGAAAAACTCCCACTTCTGGGTTTTCACAAAGTGAGGGTGGTTCTCCTTATGGCTTTGTGGGCTTGGGCGAGTGACTGAACTTTTCCAAAGAACGTTTCCTTAATTACTGAGTGGTAATACTGGCTGCTTTTAGGGTTGCGGTCAGGTTAAGTGAGGTTCTGAGTGTGCAGGCCCTGCCGTAGTGCTTGAAACACAATGAACTGTGCCAGCATCATTGCTCTTATATGGGGAGAAGGCCTTTCAGGCTTAAAAGTCACCAAACCACATTTCTCTAAGTGCACTCCTTGGCTCAGGTGCTTTTATTTTGGCAGGCCTCTCTCTCTTATTCCTTCCCTGCCTTTTTTCTGTTTTCTCCATCATTTTAAATATATTCCCTAATATCCAAGATTTTTTAAAAAATGGACATTTACGAATCCCAGTTTATACATTTCCAGAAAGTTCCTCAAGTTAGTCCCCAAATTCTAGGAAGGAATTGAAGAACAAGGATGTCAAACAAGACTCCAGAGACACAATTCATGTCTCTCAGCCTTTAACTTAGTGTTTGTAGAAAGATAAGCTAAAAGATGACAAGGCATGCCCCCTTTATTCCTAAAACTCACCTTAGCAATAAAGTTTGCCTTTGGACTTAAATCGTCAAAACATTCGTCACTACATCCATAAAACAGTTAAGCCGGTCAGTTCAAAGTACTGAATCTTGTTCTCATTCTCAGCAAAAAAATGTGTGTGTGTGTGTGTGTGTGAGAGAGAGAGAGAGAGAGAGAGAGAGAGAGAGAGAGAGAGAGAGAGAGAGAGAGTGAGAGAGCACGCACGCACGCATGCACGCACGCAGAAAAATAAATAAATAAATAAAAAGAGAAAGGATTTTTCCTCCAGGTGCAGTTCCCAGGTGGGATTTAGGTTCTGAATCTCTTGTCTAATGATCTCTTCAATGCTACTGTTTCTTTTGTGTTTTTCAGGTACTCCCCACTGGGTATCGCCTGCCTGATTTGTGGGAAGATCATTGCCATCAAGGACTTAGAAGTGGTTGCTAGGCAACTGGGAATGTACATGATCACTGTGATCGTGGGCCTCATCATCCATGGGGGCATCTTTCTCCCCTTGATTTACTTTGTAGTGACCAGAAAAAACCCATTCTCCTTTTTTGCTGGAATTTTCCAAGCCTGGATCACCGCCCTTGGAACAGCTTCCAGGTAGAGAGCAGGAGAAACCACCTTTCTCCATGCTGGCTCTTTTGTTCTGTTTGCCACTTTCCGTTTCCCCAAATCTTCCCTAAAGTCAGTGAGAACACCTTTCACATCATCTGAAGATATTTTCTAGAAGGTTAACACTTTGAACTTTTGGCTTGTCCTGGGCAATGCTTTAACTTCTGGTTAGCCTTGTGGCTGGTCAGCAACTGACTAGAAACATAACCTCATATTAAATGTTTAGATGGTTGCATGGTGTGAATTTGCATGCCTAACATGCTCCCCAAAGCATTAATGCAATTATTCAGAGGTTGCAGTATGATGTGGATCACTTAACATACCACCTATAATTTAGAAAGTGTTTTTATTTTAAAAAAAAAAACCTCTATTGAGGTTTTTGCCAATAATTTTTCAAAAGAAGAAGAATCAACTTACTTTGAAAAAGATGTGCCTATTTTTATGTTATGTGTATGTGTGAGTGACTGCATATATGTATGGGCTCTCCATACATGCCTGGCGCCCTCAAAGGCCAGCAGAGGGAGTTTTAAGCAGTTGTGTGCTGTCTGATGCGGGTGCTGAGAACTGAACCCAGAACCTCTGTACACTGCTGAGCTGTCTTGCCAGCACCAGGAAGAATAATTCTTACTGGGTAAATGGTGATTTTTTTTCCCAACAAGCAGAAACCAACTAATTCACTGACTTCGATATAAACCTCTTAATGGACAATTCTACCCTAAATTTCCTCCCTCAAAGCCAGCTTCAATGACATGACCATGATAAAAAGTCAGCTCCTGCTTCATTATCTATTTCCATTGCCTAGGAAATCAATAAGGTCCTCAAATATAGGCAACAAAAATAATTTTTTGAATATAATCTTGGACCAGTGTTAGCCAAAACACAACAAAGCAAGTTAAAAAGCAAAACAAAAAACATCTAGAATTGTAGAATTTCAAAGACTGAAAGTTTTACTTTTCCATACTGAAATTGATGCTTTACTTATGATATCTGTCTTTGTGCCACAAAACTGAGGCCAAGATCATGAAATAGGCAACTCAGAGCCCAGCAAATGCCAAAACCCACAGTGGAAGGCCATCAGGTGCCACTACTGAGTCCTGCTAGTGAGGTCCCCACTCAGAGGCACAGCATAGCTGGAGGATCCCAGGCCCCTGTTCAGGCAGTCAGAGTTGCCTAGCGTGACCCAACAGCTGCCTGGGAAGTCAAATTATATTTGCATATTGCAATCTGGGAGAATTCATTGTGAATAGAATGTGCTTTCAGAAAAGGCTGAGATGAGCACAATACTGGGAACCAGATTCAGCATCCTGTTTCCCCCAAGATGAAGGGAAACCCTTTAAAATTTCCCTTTTACTTCCTTATGCTTTAAATTCTATGTAGATAAATATTTGTATCCACGAAAATGCTTCTCTTCAGAGAAAAAGTAAACCATTCCCCCCAATAAAAACCAACTTATTTACTTTTATTTTTGTTATTTGATCACAAATATGGTATGTCTCAATAGCAATGAAGTTCAGACGGAGAAGACAATTTTGAGGAAGACAGTGAACCTCACCAGACAAGTATTTCTTCAGCTAATAACAGTATGCAATAACCTTGTAGTTAATCTTTATACTTATAAATCTTCCTCTTTTTTTTAACTATGCGTAGATGCTGCTCTAGAAACTTCTATTTCCATGGGTCAAGAGATCATTAATATCTTGTCTATTAATATAGATCTTTGCTACTATTTTTGTGAACTTCATTGTAGTATACAGGATATTAAAAAATGCTGGAGAGATAGTTTAGCAGTTAAGAGTGCTTGCTGCTCTTGCAGAAGACCTAGGTTTAGTTCCCAACACTCAAATGGCAGCTCACAACCACCCATAACTCCAGTTCTAGGGGATCCAACACCCTCTTTTGTTTCCCTACATACCAGACATACACATACATACATGTGGACAAAGCACCCCAGCACTTAATAAAATGAGATACTAATAATATACTGTACTGTATTGTATTCAGTGTGCAGAGGTGTAAATCTAAAGCATGCCCATTAAAAGGGGCTCTCACAAACGTCTCTGCCAGGCTCCCCCATGACCCCCTCAGGATGCATTCTAGACCTGGACTTGCTGAGTCAAGGGGTGCAAACTGGTAGTTTTGAAATGCATCATCAGTTAACGTTTCAGACAGTCCAGAATTTAATGTTCCCACCAACTGTGTTTGAGAGAGTAATTTTTCCTACCCGCACACCAGAGCTGTGTATTCCGAATCTGTGTTGCTTTGATGCATCCCCATCTTATTGGTGGGGAAACTACTCAGCAAATTTGCAAGCATTTGATTACAGTTGAGGGAAAACATCTTTTTATTTCTTATTGCCCTTTTCTCCCCATTCCTTGCCTCTTGAGGCTGTGTGAGCCAACTCATTTTCCTTTGTGGGTACTCATCCTTCCCTGGATGGTTCTCAAGCTCACTTTATGCATAGGAATTATTAACTTTTACATCACAAGCTACAGATAAGAAGCCTCCATACTAGATATCTGTCTTGAAAATAAATAATGATGTTTGACGCTGGAAGTTTTTTCTTTACATATATTCAAAGCTGTAAATACTCCTTTCTACTGAGAAATTCAGTTTTCCTAAAATATTTCTCTACACACAATTATAACATAATGTTTTAAATTTTTCTAATGCTCTTGTGAATTTGTCATTAAGTTATTTCAAAAATTATTACTATCTTTCTTTTGAAACCCATTATCCTAGTTACTTTAAAAGACAAGACAAATCCTGAAGAGATATTGGGGGTATGTCCTGGCATTTAAATCAAACTCAAATGCTTGAGTTACCTAAGGAAAGCCTCAAATGTTAGACCTATTTCCTTCTTCCTTACCCTGTATTACAGGGAGGAAAATATGGTTTTAATCTTCACTTAAAATGTGGCTTTTGCCTAGATGTGGAGTTTCCCTTTCTTAAAAGGCAATGGGAAAGACTCACATTCCAAGAATTGAGTCATGCTTTTTTTTTTTTTTTTTTTTTCTATAAGGGACACAAGGGGAAAAAATCCAGTGCCCAAGAACAACACATTAAACACTGCTGTGCCTCATTGTACTGAAGGAGGACTCTGGCTAGATACTTTTCACATCACTGTAACTAAACACCTGGCAGAAACAACCTAAGGAAGAAAGGTTGTGTTGGCTCAGGATTTAGGGAGACACAGTCCATTGTGGTGGGGAAGAGATAGACACTGGAACAGGTCTGTTCATGACAGAGGGAGCTTGTGATATTGCCTTCTCATGGTGCCAATCAGAAGGCAAGATGAGGCCGGAAGTAGAATGAAAGCTAAAAGCCTCAAGGTCCATCCAACTGTCATATATCCACTTAAGCCTTACCTCCCAAACATTCCAAACCATCTCAAACAGGGCCACAATACCAACCATGCAAAACTGAGAGTGGCTGACTGGCTCTTCTTGATGGACACAGAGGCTGGTATCAGAGAGGGATGTGTCCCAGATCTCTGGCTTCAATGCATGCCATGAATCATAGGAGGAATCTCAAGTATTGGACATTATTATTAGCAGCATCCTAGGGGCTCTCAGATGGAAGCCAAAAAGCAATGCCAGAGTGTCTGTCTGTCAGCACAGGAAGTCACTGGAGTTCTTAAGTCCTCGTTTGGGTTAGTTGAGTGTATGCAGATTTAAAGAATGTAAAAATAAAGCCTGCTCAGTAAAAGAAGAGGGACTGTTTGTGTGCTTCACAAACCATTCCCCCAGGCTTTCTGTCCGAAGACTCCTTGCTGACGTTTTGGAAAAAATGGATACAATAGGAAAACTGAATGTATTTGAATGATCCCAGAAGTATGCTTTGAGCCATATGATTGAGAATCCTGCCACCAAAAATGACTGAGTAGCCATTTTAGATCAGTTATGGTATTTAGGAAACACTTTGAAACAGCCCCAGGAAACGGGGAGAAGGGATAAGAGGAATAAAAGGACACCAACTTGTAATTAAAACAGCTGAGGCAGCAAGCCAGGAACATGGTATTTCCTGCATGCAAATGAGAACAGAGCCTCACTTTTTACTTGGGCTTATAAGGCGTTTGTAAACGAGACACATCCATCCCTGGCCCAATTAATTGACTTCTACCCTAAGACCAGCAGGAAGCGTTTCAGAGCCCTGACCTGTAATCACAAAGGATGTTCTGTCTGGTAAGATGACTCCTGCATCAGCTTAAGATGTAGACTTGGGTGTCTCTCATTTTATAGCTTTCAGATGTATTGCTCCAGAGTGGGTACTGGAACCAGGACATCCCTAAGCTGGCCTCTTCGCCCACTGAGAAACCGAGACCTTTGTGAACTTGTCCAGTGTTGTTCAGGCCCCAGCTGTAACTAGTGTGAGGGGGTAACTCTGACTAAGGCTTGGAAATACCTCCAAATGCTGCCTGTACTGGATATCTTCCAATTCATTTAAACAGGACAAAAGTAATCAAAGCAGGACAAACCACAAACCAATCCCATGCTGTTTGGCTCTTTTGCTTGATTTCAACATTATTTAAACTTTGAACAAATCGACCCAATCTCCTTCGCACTACTGTCTAAAAGGATGTAATATTCTGGCTGTGAGGAAGCCTTGTTCTCTTAGGAGTTCTATTTTAGAAGAGGTAGGAGCATGCCAAATATTCTAGCCTCTAAGGGTGGGTCATGTGGTTGGATCACCAGCCCATGCCTGGGAGGAGAGTAAAGAAAGTCCCTCTTCTCTGCCTTTAGTTACAGATCACATGATTTCCTGCACTGTCACTGTGGAGGCTTAGGACTGGCTGTTGGCCATGTCTCTGGGAGTTTGACTGTATGTCAAGTTCCCCAGTGGATTGTTCAAAGCTTGGGTTCCCGATGAAGGGTGTACAACATGTTTGTCCAGCATTTTCCAAATTAGTAAGCCCAACTCAAGACAATTCCCAGGGGCTTGATGCAGTCCAAGGCAGTCATTTTGTTGGAACAATATTTCTGGCATGAAATTATGGGTCATTCAAAAATCCCTCATTCTGTTTTGCTGTTGACAGCTGATCGCTTTCTGACATAATTCTTTTGCAGCCCAATTCATACGCAAATCAGATGTGCTTCAAGATTTATCCTAAGATGGAAACGGGGACTGAAGGGGAGAAGACTTGGCAGGCACTGAGTAGCTCTGAGAAACCAGAACCAACTAAATATTTTGTTGCCTATCAGCAGCTTAATCAGATTGAATTTAAACTCCCAGCTCATTTTTTAAAAAAATGTTTCTAGTTACTATTTTTTGTATGTCACAATGATTAGAAAAAGAACAAAAATTTGCAGTGTCATTCTGGTTTGTGCTTTGTCCTGCC